TTTTACCATTTATCACCTGTGAATTTTGAAATAACCCACTTTATTGATTATTTATTTGTCGATTCTATGTGATTGAATCTTTCTTTCAAATATCAGTTCGAGACAAGGTATCAAATCTATGAATCTATTTGATTTGTTATTTTGGTTGAATCTCGAAAGAATACACAGAAATAGACTCCAACTCGACTTCGAAGTCAACTGAAGAAATAATCCAAAATATTATTTCCAGATATCTCAATTCATCAAAATTCAAACAAGTGTTTCAAAGAAATACTTTACTTGAGGTTCTTTTTTTAAGGAATGAATATTCTTGAGATTTTTAGACCAAAGAACTCCCTTTCTATCAAAATATCCAATAGTTCGAAAAAATCCCAATGATTCCTCAGAGCCAAGAATGGAATAACTGATAGAAAGATATTTTGATGATAAAAAAAATGAGCGGAAAAACAAGACAGGGATGTTCCCTTTTATCAAAAGACTTCAATTGGTATGCGCAAGAAATAGGCCAATTCCGCGGCTTTTTCTTCAATTTATCGTGGAGCCAAATTCTCGTCCGTACAGGTCAACGGAATAGACCCGCGGCCTCTGATGTCCATATAAAGGACACGACGAGCATAAATACCCTCTTTAACTTCTATTCTAACCGATTGAATATCTTTTCTAAGGAATTGGAGGAATATGCGATGATTTTTTCCAGGGAATCCCCAACGAAAAATAAAAACTTTTCCTTCCCTTCTATCGAATCGATCATAACCACTACCTACATTCCAGGAAATTGTGCACCACAAATAGGAACTAATAAAGAGACCCGTGATTCTGTAGAAAGACATCACGATCCCTTGCGGAAAAAAAAGAATTTGCTGAGACGGAACAAAAGATATCAAATTTCTACCAAGATAACTGGAAGTTCCAAGCAATAAGAACCCTAATGAACCTAAAAAAACGACAAGGGCCCAGCAAAAATTACTTAGTTTTCGAGAACCCGTTATAAGTTCTATCCAGATATGTTCTGATCGCCAACTCATACTTGATACGATTTCATTTTATTGGAATTGAGATAATACCCCAAATTGACTTTTTTTTGTTTCCGAAGGAACTTTCATGAACTAGCACTAGTTTGGTGGGAACTAGCACTAGTTTCATGGGAACCTTTAGGAGTAATTCATCAAATTGGTTAGATCTATAAAATGATTTTCAGAAAATCCACCAACTTTTTTCGTTTAGTTTCAAAAGGGTTTGCGGCATATCCATCTCCATATCCTTCTCCCATATCTTCCTTATTAAATCCAAAATGCTAGGCATTTCTTAAATCCTCCTTCCGGTTATGTTGCTTTCTTTTTCTAAGAATATCTTAAAAAAAATCTAAGAAAAACTTAAAGTAGAATGCTCGCAATCGAAGGCATTTTGCTTTGTTAATTCAACAAAGAAATG